GCAATTCCTTCAAGAATTTAATTTTGATATTAAAAACATTAATTAAAAATAATAAGCTAATAATAAGGTGATAAATATGATGTAAGCTTTACATTGCAAACTCCTAACATTTACTTACAGTTTTACTTTAGAAAATATTAAAATAAATAAATATTTAATTTGATTTAACTAATAATAACTATAATGCTACATTATTAATGTAGTTATATTTGCTGAAAAACACTACAGTAATATACAATATGATCAATATTTTATTTAATATGACTTAACTAATTCTTATCAGATGTACTCACAAATCATTACTGTACCAAGTACTGTACATGGATAGAATAGAATATTCTGAATATGTTATTGGCATAATTTAGTTAATCGTTGATTAATAATCAATATCGAGATGTGCTAAAAAATCACTAACATACCCGTTGTGTACATGTATGTAACGTATGTTTAATATTAATTTTACAACATTATAACGCATGTGATTTCATAATGTTTATCATGATGTTAAAACCATTACGATAAGGCTGATTACATAATGTTTTTACTTTAGATAAACAATTATTGACTGTATATAAATAAAATGAAATAAACTTGTAAATTGTGCTAAATATGACATTAAACTCACAATTATTGGCAGTAGAAATGGATGAGAAGATTCTACGATCGCCTATTCCTACCATTCCTTACCCACAAATATCTGTCGCTGAATACATTTTTGGTCGTCTCAAGCAATATGATAGCCGGAAAACTGTCCTTGTTAGTCTTATTTTCAGCCTATTTTATATTAATTTCTTAGTTTAAAAGTTTTTAAATATTTTAAAATATTTATTTTATTTGCAAAACGATCGACAGATTGATTGTCCTTCGGGTCGGAAACACAACTCACAACAAGTTTACGACCACTCGTATAACATTGCGGCCGCTTTTGTCTCATTGGGTCTCCAGAAAGGAGATGTGGTTTTATTCATATCTCCAAACAGTGATTATTATGCCATCGCTTTGTTGGGAGTGATGGCCGCCGGCGGTGTCTTTCGTATAACATTGCGGCCGCTTTTGTCTCATTGGGTCTCCAGAAAGGAGATGTGGTTTTATTCATATCTCCAAACAGTGATTATTATGCCATCGCTTTGTTGGGAGTGATGGCCGCCGGCGGTGTCTTTAGCGCCTGCAGTGAATTCTGTTCATACAGTTTGTTTCAAAAGCAACCATAAGTTTACGGCCGATGTTTAATATCATTGTTTGTGTTTTGTTTTCAGGAGAGATCTTCAATGCTGTTGAGGACACGACCGCCAAGTATTTGGTTTGTACTAAAGAAAACTTGGAGGACATCAAGAAGATTGCCAACAGTTTACCACAGATTAGAGTGAGTTTTACACGCGATTAAAGCTATGAATATTATTTAGTATTTAATTGTTAATTATATTAATATACTAATGTTAATTGTATGCAAATAAATCCCATAGAAAATCATATTAATAGCAAACGACTGGAATTTGAAAAACGACTCGAAAATCGTACCATATTTTCAATTATACGATTATAACGCTTCCGAGTGTGACATCGATTTACCCAAACGAGTCAATTGCGAGACAGATATGGCGGCACTTCTTCTGTCGTCGGGCTCTACCGGTCGTCCCAAACCCTATTAGGCATCGGTATTCTTGCACTAATTAGACTGGGTAGTCATGGTTGTGGGCCTCTAAACCCCGAATTGGCTGTTTTCACAAGTGAGCACAGTTTTGTGAAAGACGGTAAGTTCACCTGAGCGTATCCTCTTGCATTGTATTTCACTTCTTGTGATTAGATTATGAATTGTTTGATATATTTGTTGCTGTTTTACTATTATAGCCATAGCATCGGGAGCTGTCGGCGCCATAATGCCCGGCTTTGATGGCATTAAATTCATTAATTATGTCGAGAAATATAAGGTTTGATTACAAAGTGTTTATTTGGATGTAACAGTAATAATATTTTTTGATTTCCCATTATTTGATATCTACTTATTATACAACAGATTTCGAGTGTATTTTTAGTGCCTTCTTATGCCATATTCTTAGCCAATGTTGACGTTTCCAACAGAGATGTGTCAAGTCTTGAGGATATTATGTGCGCCGGATCTCCACTTCCCGATGGAGTGGCCGATAGAGTTACACACAATTTAAAACTCAAATACTTTCGTCAAGGTATTCATTATTATTGTTAATTGTTTACAAATTTTATGGAGTATTTTTGATTATAGGGTATGGCATGACTGAAATCGGATTCTGTGAGTTGATCTATGCTTTGAAAACTCGATTAATGCTTTAATTACTAACATTTACTGCGTTTCCCCGGAAAACAAGGCACTCAAGTATATCGTAGTAAGACTGTAGAGCACAAGAGGTCTGTCGGCTGGTGTATACCCGACTCTCAGGTCAAGATTGTCGACCCGAAGACCGGGCAAGTGTTGGGCGCCAATCAAATCGGCGAGATATGGATCAAGAGTTTTCAGGTGACGCCCGGGTATCTGAATTTGCCCGACAAGAACGCCGAGTCCTTTGATAGCACGGGATTCATACGGTCGGGCGACGCGGGCTTTTATGACTCCGACCGCTTGCTATATATTATGGACAGATATAAGCAAATTATATTAGTCGAGGGCGCGATTGTGTTGCCCTCAGAGCTCGAGTTTCTGCTCCTCAATCACGAGGATGTGTCCGAAGCGGCGGTCGTCGGCATTCCTCACGAGTATTACGGAGAGATTCCGAAAGCATTCGTTGTCCTCAAAGCCAACCGCAATGTAAGCGAAGAAACACTCATTCAATACATCGATGGACTCGTCAACACTGTTAAGAGACTGAGAGGAGGACTCGTTATACTGAAAGAGTTGCCTAAAACTCCTTTGGGAAAAATCAATAAGACTTTACTTAAATGAATGATTAAAAAATATATTTTTTTCATTTATTAAAATTTGTATACAATTTATGGCGTGTTTTAAGTGATTTAACAATAAAATGTTAAAACATTTGATTGATTGCCGCGAATTAGTAAAAACGGTGGCATATTGTCGGTCAGTGTCTCAATCCATGCCATATAGAGTATGGCCGACACCATATGCTTACGAGGTATGGGTAATGTCCTTATGTTAAAACATTTGATTGATTGCCGCGAATTAGTAAAAACGGTGGCATATTGTCGGTCAGTGTCTCAATCCATGCCATATAGAGTATGGCCGACACCATATGCTTACGAGGTATGGGTAATGTCCTTATGTGCCGACAATAATGTATCAGTCAATTGTATCAGAGAATAAATTATTATTTTTTTGATTGGTCTTACATCACCACAAGAGTGGCATTCCTCGAGTTGTCCGCAATCTGTTCCCGAAGACGTAAATATCTATTTGTCTTTAAATGATAAATAAAATGAATTATATAAATAAGACACAAATGTCAGCACAGATTACTTTATCTTTGAATCGTATGACTTCCTCTTGAAGAGAGTCTACTGTCTGTTCGTCAGTCAATGCGGACATCGATTTTGACATTAATTTTATGAATCGATTTTTTCTGTTAAAACAAATTCAATTTTACACTCAATTTAATAAAAAACAATTCAAATAAAAGTTTACGTCTCGGCGGATGGCATTTGGTCCGAGTTTGAGAGCACTCGCACTGCAGAGTAAGGAATGCGAAACTTATTCAATAACTGTACCAAACTATACAAAACATTTCATTAGTTTAATCAATCAATACATTAATAGGGTATGACTGAAGCGATGCCTAACCTATTCTGTTGGTTATTAATCTCATTCATGTCTTTGGTCACCGAAAAGACCCGGAGCTTAGATCCCCTCCAAAGGGCATCGTTTTTGAGTATAAAGGGAATGAGAAGAGTGAGCCCCCCGTCATCGTATATCCACCAAACATCGATCGTTCCCTTTGTCTGCTGTGTTTTGAACCGATTGGCCAATTGGTCCACATTTGGCTCAAAATTAGCCAAATCTTTGAAATCGTTGATTGAATTGTGAGAAGTCATTGACTTTGATATCGAAAATATAGCACTTGTTTCTGAAGATTGAGCAAAAAAAAAAGTTTATTTTAACTAAAATTTGATTGAATGAGTGAATGAGTACTTCTCGTGTGATGCAAATGAGGCGAACTATTCTTAGGTTTGTAGCACTCAATGTTTAAATAGGCAGAGAAATCGTGGCCTTCTCTCAATCGTAATATTATTAGCGATAAATTGTTGTCCAAAATTGAGCTAAATTTGAATAATGATATAACATAAGTAAAGTTTTATTAAAAAATTAAATAATAAAAATTACTGAATTATCTGATAATAGTCGATAAGATCGAGGGAATCACAGGATTGCCAATTGCTTTTATAACCCAACATAACTATATTTGGTGTGAATTTTCCGATTCCCGACGCCTTTTGCATAAAACATTTAAATTACTTTTCATTCAAATTGAATAAAACTACAAAAAATGTATGCAAAACCTGAATAAAGCTTTTGGCGCCGACACTCACTGAATCGGATTCAATGAGTTTGTAAAATGCATTTATATTCTCATTCTTAAGCCATTGCTTCTGTTTGGAAGTGATCTCATCTTTGGTGCGGAAAGGGATGGGTCCCTGAGCTATGTGTGCCAATAATAACAGACCATATCGTTTAGTCATATGGTTAGCCATATCGACCAGCGCTATCCGATTGGTTGGATTACCACTTAGCAATAAGATCATAGGTCTATAGTGTTTAACATGTTCATCTTGCACATTTAAACGAAATGTGAGATGCCGAGCTATATTAAAGAATTGCTCCTCGGTCGACGGACCCCAATTGGCCTTAGCTATAGGATTATATATAGGATTATATACAGTTGACAGCTGTTAGTATAAAATGTACATTTGATGCATTGAATACATACTTGGATTCACAAAAAGCATCGATATGTATATTAAGACTGTGAGCACACAAACACTGCCACCAGAAAGTGGATCAAAGAGGAACATAAGGAAAACACAGATTATGCCAATGAAAAGACTGATCCATTTGTTGTAAAACTTAAAGCTGGGCCTAAAGCTCAACGAACTGACCCACGAAACGTAAAATAGAGAGACATTGACCATAAAGAAAGCACCTAGGTAGAAGTTGGCGATCCAAACACCCGCTATATTCACGTCATCGATAGCTATAAATAAGGCGGCGATTATGAATGTTATCACATATCCATGTCTGGGATCTTTTGAAGGACCGTATCCTTTGCCAAACCACGAGATGAATGGAATCAGATTGTCTTCAGCGAAGGCCTTCAATTCATAAACAGATTAAAATATGGTAAAGTGTTTATCTTAAGCCAACCTTGAAAATTCTTGGGGCGGCGGTATAACAACCCAATGCTGATGAAAGTGTTGCGGCAAAAATTCCCGCATAAATCAATGGATCCACTTTAAGGCTCGTTTGGGCCAAAGCCCCGGACATTGCCATTGTTTGGTAGTCGTTGATCAAACCGTACGGACAGTCACCCAAACACGTCCTGTTGTTGCCTAAAGTATCGTTTATATTACCCGAAGAATAGGCAACAATTGTAGAGCCGGTAAACAATATAATGATAGCATAAGTGAGAGAAGTGGTGCCAATGGCCAGAAATGTTCCCTTCGGTATAGCAGTGGCCGGATCTTTAAGGTCGGCCGACATACTCGCGCCCGTGAATATACCCGTCACTGACGGGAAGAATACACC